TATGCTTCTGAATTAGTAAAAACTTAGAGATGTTGTTTTGTAAATGAAAACTGAAGCAATTCATTTTGCTCTGTATGATAAAATGATAGCTAATTAAAATGTTCACAAGCAGTTTCTGAACATAAGTGAACACAATAACATTTTATACATTAAACACTTTCAGTTCAAAATGACATGATCATGATAAGAGATTATTATCCTTAAGTGGTTTCCTGTACGACAAAATAATATTTTGCTTGCCAGAAAGGCTAACCTAAACATTTTCATTCCTAATATATGCTATTTATGACACTGAACAAAATGGTAACAATTTGTACACAATATATAAGCACTTTACCAATAAATGCATTCGATGTTCTGTATGGACCTCAATTGAAGGTATGCAAATAAGCAATTTCGATATAATTATGTTAATTATGATCATGATAACTCACAGCAACCTTTGATGTTATGAAAGCTGTAAATGTGTGGACTGACACAAGGACAAAGGACATAAGGATAATGGCAGCACATCATACGCGAATGTTTTGACTGTTAGTGCTTCAAACATTGATAAAGAGGTTCTCCACATTTACAAAACATTATTTTTACAAAGTCAACAAGATTCTAGGTAGAATGTGTGAGGCCTATTTGTGGTGTCCATCGCTGTGATAGTGCTGGAATATTGTTAAAACCATACACGCTCGGCTTGACTCAGCTCAACTCAGCCTGGCTAGACCCGGCTAGGCTAGGCTTGCTTGCTCAATCCCTCACTCACTCCCTTAGGAACCGTTCATAATTTATGGCTAGGGGGGTGATGATGATTTTAAGAGGGGTCACCAATTTTGTTCTGGGGAGCTCTGGGGGTCACCAATTTTGTACACACGCATTACTAGGGGGTCAGCAATTTTGTACATAAAAATATGTTTAAAATTATGCTTAGAAATTATGGGAAGGGGAGGGGGGTCATTGATTTTGTACATGCTATGGAAGGGGGGTCACTTATTTTGTACATAAATTTTAGGGGGGGGTCATTCATATTGTACATGCTTCTCCCAAAAATCATCACCACCCCCTAGCCATAAATTATGACCGGTCCCTTACTCACTCACCTCACCCACTTACCCATAACTCAATCACTCACTCATCCATTCACCCACCCACTCAAAGTTAAATGACAACACTGAGGGCTTACATTCATGAGAACCCTCTATGATGTGTATATTTCAAGCAAAAACTGTGGTGCATTGGATAGTCAATGGATTAGTGAGGGTCAGGTAGGGTTTAAAGCTGCTTTGAACAGTATCTCACTTATAACGCTGCGATGCAAGCCTTGATGGATAAAGCTGCAGCGAAACCCATAAACACAAGTTTGGTGCTGACAAACCTGGATTCAAACTCGAGATCTGATAGATGGTAAGCTGATGTAAGGACATTAGTGGAAAGCAAAGGACCTGCATATTTCAACAACTAGTAAAGTGTGTGCTGCAGCATGTTCAGACTGTCTTCTATATCCCCAGAACTAGCATTTCAGAAAACCTACACTAACTCCTGGATTCCGTGGTTCTCGCTATTTAGAGTTACCTGCCCTTGAATTCAATTTGCTAGCATGAATGGCCACATCAGTAAGGTCCAACTTACCAATCAGAATGTGATTTACCATACAGAACGTCAGTGCAAAACAATACCCAGACTTGACATCTTCAGAAACAAATTCCGGTTGGTGTAAAAGGGAAAAATAGCTGTGAAAATTATAATAATGGATCACTGAAACTCTGTGATGACTCACTAGCCATGAATTGGGCTGGCAATATTACAGCATGGCAGCCAGTCTCATGGATTATAATCAAGTTTGTGACAAAATCAATATTGACACTTAAATAAAGCCGCAAAAATCTGTTTGCTGGAAAGGATGTCTTAATGTCCATTAAAACTGGTGGTGGCCTAGGTTCCTTGGTAATTTGAGTTACCTCCCTTTCCCTTATGTCGACACATGATTGGTCGAAAAATGCAACTGAAAATCAAGGGCAGGTAAATCATGTTCACAAAAAACGTCAATGGATCAAACTGTTAGTATCAGTTTATAAAAACGCAAAACGAGATGATATAGAGGATGACCAGAAGCCAAAATGTTGAGTCGGCATGTTTAGTTATAAGCAGGTTATACATAACAAAGTGTAACTTCCGGGGTTGTTCCGATACAATTGTAGCACTGTGACTTTGTAACCACCAAGTCAACACTTGCTCAACGATCTCCTTGTTAGGTGTGGTAGTCAATGGTAGTGGCTCAAAGCAACGTGAGATAGTGGCTCAAAGCAACGTGAGGACAGCCAGGTAGTGCATTTGGATATCGTCTGTGTTAATGATGGTTATCACAGGATACAAGATCATACAGTCTACCTTTGGAGAACCCGGGGCGGCTCGTCTTTCTCATAGTATGTTGTGTCGTTTTCGGCCATATTGTCCAGCTGTATATCATGCAGAAATGTGAGTTAAAACAAAGGGGGTTAGAATGTGTCCACACTCCAGAAACAAATGTGTTAAAAGAAAGGTGTTAAATTTGTGTTCATACTAAAATGTGTTAAACCAAAGGTGTTAAAATGTGTCAACATTCCAGAAATAACGGTCATAAAACAAAGGTGTTAAAGAACAAATAAACTTTTTTTTTTTTACTCTTTTAACCATTACATATGAAAGAATTGTGGTTAGTCTTATGCGGAACACCAAATTTATTCTTTAAAAACTTGTGGTTAAGTAGTACCAAGCGATTAAAAGTTGCCAAAAAGGGGCCTCCTTCACTCTCGCCCGCCAACGAAACCACAGACAGGTTACGTAACTCTGTCGCCAGAGCACTGCAGTGACGTCATATGAGGAAGGCTTTTCAGTTAGTTGTATAGAAAGTGTGTAGCAAGCTCGTCATTTTGATGATTTCTCGACATCAACGAAGACATGCCAAATCGTCGCGTTGTCGTCAATTGCTCCTAGAGGTCGGGCGATGGTGTCGCCATGCACAGATTTCCACAGAAGCCTGAAGCGATATCTTACTTGTGTTCAGATCGCTTCACAGAAGTTAAAGAATCAAAACTACATACTAGTCGTAGTAAAATATGTATATGATTGATGACCATAAAGATTTTCCATGACACAACTTGTAACATAACGATTTCTGCCTCAGAAGCGAGGTTGTGGTTGAAGTAACAATAATACTGTAAGTAGTTTTATATTGACACCCACCTCGCTTCCACGAGAAAATTGTTATGTTATAAGCTATGTCATGCAAAATCCTATTGGCCATCAATCAAATACATATTTTACTACCAGTAGAAAGTAGTTTTGATTTTGTAACTTGGTGAAAACAAACCTAAATAGCATTTATACTCAGACTGGCAGATGTTCGCGACAGGGCGCCACCATTTTTGAAAATCATGAAGTCACTGTCTGTTAGAATTAATGAGATTATGGTTTGTTTTCATCAAGTTAGAAAATCAAAACTACTTTCTACTCGTTGTTAAATATGTATTTGAATCATTACCAAAAGCATTTTGCATGACACAACTTATAACATAACGATTTCTTCCACAGAAGCGAGGTGGGGGGGTCGAAGTGACAATACTGCGCGATAAATTTCTTGCTACATTCACGTAGTTAACGTGCACTCACCAGTATGTAGATACTAGTCCATGTACGTCTTTATATTTGGTCTTATAATCCTAATTAGTTTTTGATCATACTTGTATGCATTTTGAAACTAAATAAAAAGCAGACGATAACAGGACTGTAATATCTAGACAGTTTATAGTTTGCCAATGTGAATCATAATTCGCACACACAACCTAGTGTATGTCTCATTACACTTCACGGCGAAAACAACGATCCTGTTGAATGCTACGACAAATTAATAAACACAAAACGCAAATATTAAAATTAAAACAGATTAAATTTATAGGAACAATGTCAGGCTATTACCTTGTTCGAGGAATGTATCCATCAATATCCACAAAAATGAGTGATATGCCATTCATCTGCAGCTGTTCCAAGTAATGTGTCTTTTAACAGTCTAGTATACGAAAAAGTGATATATCGTTTCAGGTATGTCACATTGGTGTATAGTCTCACTGGTCACCCAGGATAGCACACCTGGCAACTGATTGCATAATGTTTGCCATTCTTTAAAAACGGTAATTTAGTTAGCCAATAATGAGCAATCAATCACTGTATTGGCGGTTAATCCTTTGAAGGAAGGACGTTGTTTTTACGCAGACACAGACACGAAAGAGTGTAAGATACATAAACACTACATTTTGACAAATCCGCTGTGTAAGACAAAAGTAATTAATCAATCAGCGTGTTATCGGTTAATCCTTTGATCGATGTTTATAATGTTGAATATTTACTCCAGACAAAAGAAATGCCAAATGGGAACCTTTGTCGGATAATCTAAGTGGTGTTACCACTAATTATACCTGTTATAAATTCATTAACTGACCATCAATTGAATGATGACAAATAACATGTGTAGGTTTATACCACCTAACACGGGTTACCTTGAAAGTTATCTATTACACCTCCCATTAAATGTTGGTGTGGCCTAGGTTCCTTGGTACTTTGAGTTACCTCCCTTTCCCTTATGTCGACACATGATTGGTCGAAAAATGCAACTGAAAATCAAGGGCAGGTAAATCATGTTAACAAAAAAAGTCAATGGATCAAACTGTTAGTCTCAGTTTATAAAAACGCAAAACGAGATGATATAGAGGATGACCAGAAGCCAAAATGTTGAGTCGGCATGTTTAGTTATAAGCAGGTTATACATAACAAAGTGTAACTTCCGGGGTTGTTCCGATACAATTGTAGCACTGTGACTTTGTAACCACCAAGTCAACACTTGCTCTACGATCTCCTTGTTAGGTGTGGTAGTCAATGGTAGTGGCTCAAAGCAACGTGAGGACAGCCAGGTAGTGCATTTGGATATCGTCTGTGTTAATGATGGTTATCACAGGATACAAGATCATACAGTCTACCTTTGGAGAACCCGGGGCGGCTCGTCTTTCTCATAGTATGTTGTGTCGTTTTCGGCCATATTGTCCAGCTGTATATCATGCAGAAACGTGTGTTAAAACAAAGGGGGTTAGAATGTGTCCACATTCCAGAAACAAATGTGTTATAACAAAGGTGTTAAATTTGTGTTCATACTAAAATGTGTTAAACCAAAGGTGTTAAAATGTGTCAACATTCCAGAAATAAAGGTCATAAAACAAAGGTGTTAAAATGTGGCAACCCTCTAGAAACAAATGTGTTCAAATGTGTTCAGATTTCAGAAACAGATGAATAGAATGAAGATGAGGATTGAAATTCAGGTAACATTATGGTATGCTGGTTGTTGTTTTAAGTATCACCTGTATTATTGTGGTCTGTGAATTACTGAGTCTGGACCAGGTAATCCAGTGATTGACATCATGAGCATCGACCTAGTTTATCAAGATTGACTCAGGGTTCATACAGCCAAGAGCCCTTGTGATTCAAGGGCTTTTCAAGGACTTTTCGTGGACATATGATGTGTTTTCAAGCACCACTTTTTCCCAAAATTATCGCAGACAAGTTTCACTTTGACATTGCCGCTCAAGCATTAACAACGATCTGTCAGAACGTAGCGCAAACGCCCGATTCACAGACAGAGCCCGGTTTCTTTTTTTATGATGTAAGGAACCAGGAAATAGATGCAATTTAATCAAAACGATCGATTGATTGTCAGTGGAACCACAACAAATATTTTAATGAAATTTCAAGCACTTTTCAAGGACACGTTAAAAAATCCAGCACTTTGCAAGTACTTTTGTGGTAAATTTCAAATTCAAGTACTTCTCATCGAACGTAGTTAAATTCAAGCACTTTTCAAATCTGTGTGAACCCTGTGAATGACAAGATCCAGGTAAAAATTGTCTGGAGCAACCCAGGCTTCACATAAGAGACAACAATGTTTGATATAAGAAATAACTTATAGGACCAGGTGGTCAGACTGACTCTGTAGATGAGGACCATCGTATCCTATCTGTGTACTGCAGAAACAAATCCGAATGTTATACAGGCTGTGGGAGTCATCCATTTTGGGGAGTTACATAAGCAGGGGCATCACACTGACAAACTTGAAAACATTATCAAGGTTTCGAACAGGAAACCACCTCTGCAAAACTAACAGAAAAATCTTTGTGGACCTGATCATTATATTAAAGCAAGGCCCTTATTCAAAATAACATTTTTATCATCATTTACTAACCTGAGACACCAACAATGCAGAAATCCAAGCCTACGTCTTATTGTCTGTAACCTGTAAGGTTATATGTATATATCCTTCAGATCTAGTAAGTGATCGTAGTGAAACTGAATCCGATGATGAAAGTTCGTCGTTTACAGCTTATGTACGACCTTATCAAGCAGTATCAAAGGTCTTGTTGCAGATCCTGCACAAGTGATGGAGGCTGCACAATTTCTGAATGGAAACAGCTGACAGGTTCACAATGGTGAGAAAATACTGGTTGTGCTAGGATGACCACTTAATTCTGTGAAACAAGATCAAACTCGGGCAATGGATGACAATGCAAGCAGGCATGACAAAGGATAAATAAGTACATCACGAGAAATACTGATAGCACTTATCTCTATCTACACAGCTTCATTGATGATGATTCTATTGTCTTTATCATGTGTACTTGTGCCCAAACTAGAAAGGCTAGGAAGTGAGGTGAGGTGAAATTGGGTTTTAACGTCGTGCTTGAGAATATTTCGCTCATATGACGACGTGCATGCGTGTGTATGTGTATGTGCGGCTGCTTGTACTAGCCCAGACTTAAGCTGGTTTTATAGTGCAAGCCCACTGAGACACCATGCCACAGTGAAGCATGAATACCCCACTCAGACACATTATACAGAAAGGCTAGGAACAGTGACATGCACAGATGCATTCACATAATTCCATTGTCTTTATTGTGTATACTTGTGCCAAAATCCAAAAGGCCAGGAACGACAACGACATGCAGAGTTCATCAGTTGAGGTTACCATGGTTACACTGGAATAATTCCATGTGTATGTTTTGCATGTCAGACATTTGTTCTGTCTGAATCCTTGCTTGATGACAGCTGCCTCTATAATACATAAGTTTAGCCAAGTAACCACAGCAGTCGGTGGTGTTATGTGTCGATAACTTCCTCAGACTTAGCCAAAAAAAACAAACCTTGGTGGTTGATAAGTGTGTTAGAGGGAATGTCAATCTCCAAGCAAGAAAGTCTTAGTGCTACAGAAAACTGGGCTCTTGAATGTCACATACTTTTTGAACCACTATAATTTTATAGATGTATGTGTCTATTTTATCAAAACTGTACAGAAATATATGTAAGGATCATTTAATAACTAAAAAAGGTTGGCTGTTAGGTGCTATATATATCATCGTTGTTGTCATCTCCATTTTCATCATCAACATCCTCAGTCTATCTTATTTGAACTTTCAGTTATAAGTTGGAGTGGGGCCAATGTTTTATCAAGCATTACATGAACATGAAGTGAGTGAGTGAGTGAGTGAGTGAGTGAGTGAGTGAGTGAGTGAGTGAGTGAGTGAGTGAGTGAGTGAGTGAGTGAGTGAGTGAGAGTGAGTGAGTGAGTGAGTGAGTGAGTGAGTGAGTGAGTGAGTGAGTGAGTGAGTGAGTGAGTGAGTTTAGTTTTATCCCGCTTTTAGGAAATTTCATGGCGGGGGACACCAAATATGGGCTTCACACATTGTACCCATGAGGAATCGAACCTGGGTCTTCAGCGTGATACTTTAACCACTTAGGCTACCCCAGTGTCTCAAATATGAAGAAGTTAACTGATGTCAGTTATATATTGCTTGCCTATTTGATAATTGCATGTCCCAGAACATTTAGAATATACATGATGTCCTCTTATAGCTAATAGCTTCCTAACATGACTCATCCATAATAATCCCATGTTTTCCATTGTAACTCTATATGTTGCACAAAATGATTTGTATTTTGATAACTGGTTATGCATTGTTAATAGATTCATGCAAATTAATACAGTGAGACATGCAAGGTGTTGCCCCGAGGACTCGCAATGAACTGTATTGTTAATGAAAAATAGGAATTATTGCTACAGGTATGGACAGGATATGACAAATAGAAGATAGTTGACACTGTATCAATATATGGGTTTATTTGCAATGACAAGTGAAAATATTTGTATTGGAAGCTCATGGATGGAAGCTGAATCTCCATGAAAACCAACCAACACCCCCTACCTGGGATGGGAATTGCAATACCTTGGGCCAGTTTTGTTTATATATATATATATTATATATAAATGTTGCAGTTTAAGACATGTCCTGAGGGATTATTAGGGGGATTTCAATATTTGTGTGCTATTTGTGCTTCAGCTAGTCAGAGTGACTAACGGGATCGGGTGGTCAGGTTCGCTGACTTGGTTGACACATGTCATTGTAACCCAATTGCGTAGATCGATGCTCATGATGTTGATCACTGGACTGTCTGGTCTTATAGCTGGAATATTGCTTAGTTAGTTAATCAACAAACAAACCAAACAAGCAAAACGTGTTGGTTAATTTCCATCCATGCCTACCCATGATATTGATCCACTGCAATCCCATCATGCATCAGTTAGGAGAGCCCCAGAGCAAAAATTAAAAGATAGACCAGCTCAAGTCTAGAATGATTTGGCACTACTAGTCTATAAACGGCTAGAATACCTCAAAATCAAAAATGATTCAGGGCTAATTTCGGATTTAATTTATACATATTTTGGATATATAATCATATGTATTCTAGATAAAGTTTTGAACATGAAAGCAAGTTTTAATCTTAAAAGAAGGTAATTTTATTTCTGGGGCTAAACATGCTAAGTGACAGGTATGAGTATGGCAGGTCTGATGAGGCAAGATGGATGGATTTGTTGGCAGGGACATGTTCATGCTCTGACAGGGTCAGATACAATGTGTCTTCATTGTGTTCAAGGAGGCAGAGGTACAGATAAGCTGCGTATCTGAAAACTGAATTGCTAGTGCATAAATGTGCAAAATTGATTTTACATTACGTGAAAACAGTGAATTCCTTCCGACGGGTACGTCTATTCGTCCGATTTTAATAGTCCGGACTATGCAACCCAAGTTGCTTCCCTAACTATTACAAAACGCTTTGAAGTTTTGTAAATACTCAATAAATTTGATTTTTCATGCGTACACACAAAATAGATAAAATAACTGAGGTATATTGAGAGGTTCTATTTCAGCACATGAACTTGGCAACTTGCAATCTTTCTGATCATTTCTCATATTACAGATCAAATATCTATATAATTAACACGTAAACCAACATATAAACTTTATTATATTTTTACGATCGATGGAAAATGACAACATACCCAAATGTGTTTGAGTGAGGTGTGTTCAATTTATTTGGTTACTCAAAGGAACATTAGGATACCCAATTGAGATGAACACAAGCGAGTACATAACTCAATGACCCAAAAAGTTATCTTTAGCTCTGGGAAGAGTTCCTGTAACTAGATACATGTGATCTGCTTGAGGATGTAAATACATGTATCAGGTGCATATCTGAGCATGCTGAGTGCAAGGGCTGTTACAATTCCTCTGTCTTTGGTGAATCCAATTGTATACCTTCATGAATTATCAAATGATTATCAAAGCGTGATAAATATTGAATACATGTACATAATCAACATTGTGTTATATTAGCAATACCAGTCATGTGGTCCAGGGATGGAAATAACTTTAAAATTGCTAGTGTACTCCGGTACAGTGGCACATGTAAAATCACTTTCCCTGATAATTTTTCCACTATACCGGCCGTTTTCTTGTTGATTTTTAAATAAACAACATAATTAACATTGGAATATCAACTGGACACCGGTACAGTGTGATATACAAATTTGCTTGCCCGACAGAAAAAAAACACTGGACTCGGGCGTCGGGCAATGGGTTATTTCCTCCCCTGTGGTCACTGAACATTGTCGTGAGACACTGTCCCAACATGTCAAATAACCTGGTTTCTTATTTGTTCCACTGAACATAATCAACTTTGGACTTGTTGTATTTATACATACATATTCTTATTCACTACCCTATATTCGTGATATGTATCATATTCACCTCATATCAGGTTTAATGCACTCCTCATGCAAAACCCGTGTCCTACAATTCACCATATAATGGTCCATACAGAAAATGAATTTCTGTCTGTGCCTAATGCTTTAGGGCTACGAGACCAAATATGTCTCTCAGCACAATTTTCAGAAGAACATGGTGATATTATTACTCGTACTTATCACTAGCACTACTGTTACTAGTACAGTGGAAGCCCTCTAAACCGGCATTCGTTGGGACCATAAAACTCGTTGAAATTTAATTCTGAAGCAAACTGAATAGCTTTCTCTTTCAAACTATGTCGAGAAACGGGCATATTTTTACGGCGGGCAGTAAAAAACCAATGTCAGTGTGTTAAATTTGTCAAATTTACTGTTTTCATTCACACGTTTTGTTTAAAATTGATGTTTTGTTCGAATCTAGTTTCATACGCTCCTTGTAATCAGGCAACATCAATGAGCTTAATGCCGATGGTAATCCACTGTGTTGTTAATACACGTTCAGCCAATCAACCAATCAACAGGAGTGCTGAGATACAGGATGCCGGTTTAGAGAGCGTTAATTACTGCACAAACAGTCATTTGGGCGGTCTTTGTCGTGCCGAAATACGGAATAGACTAACGCCGAATTAGAGGCTGTGTAAATGATCATAAATTAACTAGCTTCTGCCGGGACCAAATTCTAGTGCCGATATTGAGAGCATGCCGGATTAGAGGGCTCCGCTGTAGTATTATAATACTAGCTGGGGTTGCTAGACTAATCGCAGTTTTACTTGACTTGGACTTGGATTGGGAGCTACGGTCACAGCCTGGAAGTATCACTGACAACACCTTCAAAGCCTTGTAATGTTGTTCATGCTCTCGACCACTGGTTTAAATGGCCCAGTACATCCACACTCAATTATTACAGGCCATCGTGGAATAGCTAGAATAATGCTGACTTCAATAACACCATATCACGAAGATTCATACAGATATGGAACACTAAACATCACAGCCTTTTCAAAGCTTTCAGCTATAATGTTCACGTTGTTATAAGTAGACCGCCTCCGTGGTGTAGTGGTTAGAGCGTCCGCCCTGAGAGCGGAAGGTCGCGGGGTCGATCCCCGGCCGCGTCATACCAAAAGATGTTAAAATATGGTACTTATTGGTCCCTGCCTGGCGCTCGGCACTATAAAACCAGCTAAAGTCTGGGCTAGTACAAGCTGCCGCACATACACATACACAGGCATGCACGTCGTCATATGAGCGAAATATTCTCAAACACAACGTTAAACCCAATTTCACATCACCTTTTTATAAGTACAACTGATATCTGGGTTAGAACTGGTCTTCAGCAACCCATGCTTGTCGAAAAATGCAACTAATGGGATCGTTTTTGACACATGTCATCATATCCCAGCTAAGTAGATCAATGCTCTTGATGTTGATCACTGGATTGTTCGGTTCAGACTCAATTATCATGATTATTAGCCATATAGCGGTAATAGTGCTGGAATATTACAATAAGTATCAGTTTCTGAAGACCAATTCAAGTTTAACCCAGATCTTTACAGGTTTCTGAGACAGGAATTCACTGGACATTCCAAATGTGCATTTTAACAAGCTATGAACTATTGGTCATCTCGCAACATTATCTAAAATATATTATTAGAAATATACTTGAACCATATCATGGTGCTCTTGGTTTCATGCCTTACACAGTGTGTGGATTCAAATCCCAAAATTTGTACCTTCCTAAGAAACTTTAAAACCCAAACAAAACAATTGTCAACATGGATGAAGTAGAGGTAATCACTTGAATCGGTTGACTCTTGAACTAGAATCATCATGGGCAAACAGTATTTGTTGATTCTCAAAAGTTCAAGAAACTGACTCAACTGATTTCTAAATTACATAAACCGCCCCAAACACCTCAACATCACACTTACCGTATAGCAGATTTCTCCGTAGGCTCACTAGACGACATGTTGGAAGCTTGTAGAACAAATCTAACACTGTTGAAACTTAATCTCAAGACTACTGCAGAACACTAGCTTTCAATTCTCCCAAGATAAAAACTATATCCTCTTGATAAATTTCTCCGACTCTGAGTGTGACCACTCTCGGCTGCAGGAATCACAAAATTGAAAACTTATGGCTTAAGGGGAACAACGGAGTTCCTACAGCAGAAGCTGTCAACCCTAGCAACAGAACTGAAAATAGGATACACAGGCTAGTTTCCACCCAAAGCAGAAATTTCACCAAGCATGAATCCAAACAATGTCCTTGACAGGATCTCTCTAGGAAACTGTAGTCTGGCGTACAACATCAACTTGTCTGGATTTGCATATGACAGCTCTCACCATCTGCTGCAAGTACAAGTGGGTCAACCACAGGCGAAGTAAAATCACACTGGAAAATGGTTAGTCTCGTGATCTGAGTTCCAGCTCACATGAGGGGAGATTTCCCCTCATGTGATCATCAACTGCTAAATATAAACAGTAGGCGTAACAGCAAATACAGTTTATCACAATCAGGAAGTATAGGAGTCCACATGATTCAAGTGAGTCAAAACTATTTGAGTTTCCTGAAATAATGACATACTGGTAAATATATTGCTAGCCTTGCTCCAAGGCTGTACAGAAGACAGGCCATGGATGTAAAGTAATCCTTACAGTAAGTGGACAGTAAAAATTGATGCCAGTCTCTTATCTGGACTACTTGATAGGTTTTCTTTTCATATAATCTTGAAATTCTCTGTCTGTTTATTTTCATAATCATGAAATTATCATTACATCTTATTAAATAATATTTGCCTTAGGGGCTTGTACAAGTCAAAGTGACCAGAATTTACAATGTTAGAAATTCTAAATGGTTGTTGAGGTGTCATATATCAAGTTTAAATTTAAATAATGTGCTTCTCCCAGTTCTGTAGACTAACAGCTGATATGTTTCACAGTCCCTGAACCACATTATTTTCTCTACTACCTAGCCTTCCCTGCAATGCTAGAGCTTTAAATGAAGCAAGTCTAGATTGGTTTTAGTGCCTACCCGATATTACTCTACATCTGTCAACTATTATAGACTTGCATGGGCTGTATTAGGTACATATGGTTCATTGGTTTCAATGTTTACCTGACATTAATCTACACTTATGGTCTTAGTCAACTAGAGCTCTAAATGAAGCAAGTCTAGATTTCCCTGTTTGATAACATCTGAATCTCTGGTCTTCCTAGGACTCCTTTTCAATTTAAATAGGTTTATTTGTTACAATCAAAATTATATATATATTCAGAGACTAAGCGTTAGTCTAACTAACAGCTAGTTTATGATATTGAAATCGGTTACTGTGAAAAAGAGTTAATAAATCATCTCGGTACATGTGAGCCTAGAGGCGTTTTCTTCTTTCAACATAAATAATGGCTTGTCTACGCCTGGTGTCATAGTCAGTCTGACATAACATTTGTCAACTCCTGCAGACTTGCATGGGCTGTATTGGGTACGGTCAGTACATTGCTTTAAAGAACATTTATATAAGGTACATTGGTTTCCAGGTCTACCTAACATTGATCTACATTATGGTCAACAATTATAGACTTGCATGGGCTGTATTGGGTATATTTAATTCAGGATCTGCCTGACATTAGTCTATACTTGTCAACTATTATAGACTTGCATGGGCTGTATTAGGTATACTTAATTCAGGATCTGTTTGACATTTGTCTATACTTGTCAACTATTATAGACTGGCATGGGCTGTATTGGGTATATTTAATTCAGGATCTGCCTGACATTAGTCTATACTTGTCAACTATTATTGGGCTGTATTGGGTAAATTTAATTCAGGATCTGCCTGACATTAGTCTTTACTTGTCAACTATTATAGACTTGCATGGGCTGTATTGGGTAGATTTAATTCAGGATCTGTCTGACATTAGTCTATACTTGTCAACTATTATAGACTTGCATGGGCTGTATTGGGTATATTTAATTCAGGATCTGTCTGACATTAGTCTATACTTGTCAACTATTATAGACTTGCATGGGCTGTATTGGGTATATTTAATTCAGGATCTGCCTGACATTAGTCTATACTTGTCAACTATTATAGACTTGCATGGGCTGTATTCGGTATATTTAATTCAGGATCTGCCTGACATTAGTCTTTACTTGTCAACTATTATAGACTTCCATGGGCTGTATTGGGTATATTTAATTCAGGATCTGCCTGACATTAGTCTATACTTGTCAACTATTATAGACTTGCATGGGCTGTATTGGGTATATTTGATACAGGATCTGCCTGACATTAGTCTATACTTGTCAACTATTATAGACTTGCATGGGCTGTATTGGGTATATTTGATACAGGATCTGCCTGACATTAGTCTATACTTGTCAACTATTATAGACTTGCATGGGCTGTATTGGGTATATTTGATACAGGATCTGCCTGACATTAGTCTATACTTGTCAACTATTATAGACTTACATGGGCTGTATTGGGTATATTTGATACAGGATCTGCCTGACATTAGTCTATACTTGTCAACTATTATAGACTTGCATGGGCTACTTGTACTTGCATGGGCTGTATTGGGTATATTTGATACAGGATCTGCCTGACATTAGTCTATACTTGTCAACTATTATAGACTTGCATGGGCTGTATTGGGTATATTTGATACAGGATCTGCCTGACATTAGTCTATACTTGTCAACTATTATAGACTTGCATGGGCTGTATTGGGTATATTTGATACAGGATCTGCCTGACATTAGTCTATACTTGTCAACTATTATAGACTTGCATGGGCTGTATTGGGTATATTTGATACAGGATCTGCCTGACATTAGTCTAGACTTGTCAACTATTATAGACTTGCATGGGCTGTATTGGGTATATTTGATACAGGATCTGCCTGACATTAGTCTATACTTGTCAACTATTATAGACTTGCATGCATGGACTGTATTGGGTATATTTGATACAGGATCTGCCTGACATTAGTCTATACTTGTCAACTATTATAGACTTGCATGGACTGTATTGGGTATATTTGATACAGGATCTGCCTGACATTAGTCTATACTTGTCAACTATTATAGACTTGCATGGGCTGTATTGGGTATATTTGATACAGGATCTGCCTGACATTAGTCTATACTTGTCAACTATTATAGACTTGCATGGGCTGTATTGGGTATATTTAATTCAGGATCTGCCTGACATTAGTCTATACTTGTCAACTATTATAGACTTGCATGGGCTGTATTGGGTATATTTAATTCAGGATCTGTCCGACATTAGTCTGTACTTGTCAACTATTATAGACTTGCATGGGCTGTATTGGGTATATTTGATACAGGATCTGCCTGACATTAGTCTATACTTGTCAACTATTATAGACTTGCATGGGCTGTATTGGGTATATTTGATACAGGATCTGCCTGACATTAGTCTATACTTGTCAACTATTATAGACTTGCATGGACTGTATTGGGTATATTTGATACAGGATCTGCCTGACATTAGTCTATACTTGTCAACTATTATAGACTTTGCATGGATCTGTATTGGGTATATTTGATACAGGATCTGCCTGCACATGATACAGGATCTCTGACATTAGTCTATACTTGTCAACTATTATAGACTTGCATGGGACATTAGTCTGTACTTGTCAACTATTATAGACTGTATTGGGTATATTTGATACAGGATCTGCCTGACATTAGTCTATACTTGTCAACTATTATAGACTTGCATGGACTGTATTGGGTATATTTGATACAGGATCTGCCTGACATTATATATCTATACATCTGCCTGTCAACTATTATAGACTTGCATGGGCTGTATTGGGTATATTTGATACAGGATCTGCCTGACATTAGTCTATACTTGTCAACTATTATAGACTTGCATGGACTGTATTGGGTATATTTGATACTTGACATTGTCTATACTTGTCAACTATTATAGACTGCATTGGCTGTATATTTTGATACAGGATCTGCCTGACATTAGTCTAAACTTGTCAACTATTATAGACTTGCATGGGCTGTATTGGGTATATTTGATACAGGATCTGCCTGACATTAGTCTATACTTGTCAACTATTATAGACTTGCATGGACTGTATTGGGTATATTTGATACAGGATCTGCCTGACATTAGTCTATACTTGTCAACTATTATAGACTTGCATGGACTGTATTGGGTATATTTGATACAGGATCTGCCTGACATTAGTCTATACTTGTCAACTATTATAGACTTGGCATGGGCTGTATTGGGTATACTATTTAGACTTACAGGATCTGCCTGACATTAGTCTATACTTGTCAACTATTATAGACTTGCATGGGCTGTATTGGGTATATTTGATAGTCAGGATCTGCCTGACTGTATTGGGTATATTTTAGTCTATACTTGTCAACTATTATAGACTTGCATGGACTGTATTGGGTATATTTGATACAGGATCTGCCTGACATTAGTCTATACTTGTCAACACTTATCTGTATTGGGTATATTTGATACAGGATACATTGTCAACTATTATAGACTTGCATGGGCTGTATTGGGTATATTTGATACAGGATCTGCCTGACATTAGTCTATACTTGTCAACTATTATAGACTTGCATGGGCTGTATTGGGTATATTTGATACAGGATCTGCCTGACATTAGTCTATACTTGTCAACTATTATAGACTTGCATGGACTGTATTGGGTATATTTGATACAGGATCTGTCTATAAGGAAGTAACTCATGGCCATAATGTCACATTGTAAACAGTGGGAAATCCCCCAAATTGAAATAAGTTAAAACAAAGTGAAACTTAGGTTGTCATCCTTGTGAAACTATAAATATAATGAAAATTACCCTAAAAGTTCACAGAAAACCATCCTTCTCTTTTCTTTTTCATACTATTAAAATTTCCCCTACCACCAAGAGAAAATAATAAATGTTAGGCAAACAGACTAGAAAATTAACTTAAAAGAAAACCAAAGTGACTACGAGTATCTAATGAATATTTTGCCGTATGACATCGAAAATCGACTTGCGACTTTTAGTTCTGTCAAAAACATTCCTAGGTTTTACATCTATGTGCATTAAATGAGACAAAGCAGTTCTTAGATGTATTTCACAGAGAACAGACCGGGGGATTTCTGTACATTCAGTCACGATTTTTCCTGTTTTCTTTTTAACTAATAAGATTGCACTCCCATCAGTTTCACTGAATCTTAGTCTGTGAGTCATTTACATTCTACAGCAGCCTGATTTGCTTTATCACAGCCAGTCAATCTTGTCCGAGAACACCTTAAGTAGCACCTGACTTGAGATGATGACAGCTTTGGTAAACCTCCATGAGAAAATACCCCTGAAGACCCAGGTTACAATTGGTCTTCAGTAACCCATGCTTGTCGTAAGAGGTGCTAACGGGATTGCGTGGTCAGGCTCACTGACTTGGTTGACACATGTCATCGTATCCCAATTGCGTAGATTCATACTCATGACGTTGATCACTGGATTGTCTGGTCCAGACTCGATTAT